TACTTTCTGATAGAGTACCCCATCTGTCTATCAAACACACTTTCATACTTTCTTATTTCTTTATAGTCCCCAGCTGTCTGTCAAACACACTTCCATACTTTCTGTTATAGTGCCCCTTATACTTTCTGAGCTGTCTGTCAAACACTCATACTTTCTTTTATAGTGCCCCAGCTGTCTGTCAAACACACTTCCATACTTTCTGATATAGGTCCCCAACTGTCTGTCAAACACTTATACTTTCTGATATAGTGTCCAAGATGTCTGTCAAACTCTCATACTTTCTGTTATAGTGCCCCAGCTGTCTGTCAAACACACTTCCATACTTTCTGATATAGGTCCCCAACTGTCTGTCAAACACTTATACTTTCTGATATAGTGTCCAAGATGTCTGTCAAACACTCATACTTTCTGTTATAGTGCCCCAGCTGTCTGTCAAACACTCATACTTTCTGTTATAGTGCCCCAGCTCTTGTTTCCGAATTTCTCATATTATGATCGCTCTTTTTTTTTTTATATGTGTTTCAGATGTCCACAGGTCTGTCTAAACTCATTGTGATATCATACATGTCATGTAGAGATACACACCAAGCTCTCAATGTTGACACTTGAGTAAAATATTGATCTTATTGTGAGGACCATTGTAGTGCAGTGAAATAAGATTTCTACACCAGAAATCGTCATTATCAGTTAACATACAGTGACTTCCATTGTTTAATTGCTTGAGATTTTGGTATAGTTATAAATCAATAAGTAAACGTCAGCTTCTTTGCGTGGACATTAATCTACACGATATTGATCATTAACAGTAAACATGTTGAACTTTGGTTATTTTGGTTGTTGAAATACATTGGTCGTCCGATGTTTTTTTTTATAAAATATGTATCGACGTGATCCCGCAGTTATTAATGCAATCGCTGAGAGTGACTTATATCGTTTGTTTTATGAAGGAATAGAATAATCGGGTATATCAATGGGTTCATATACTATTCAGCATCATCATCGAAAGCCGGATTTCGATATATAAATAATTTTCGAATCAATGGTAAAACTGGATTTTCTCAAACACTGATATTATCCATTTTGGTGAATTGACGTCTCCGTATATATTAGCGATGGTTATCTACTTTAGTTGGTCCTTTTTGACATGAAAATGGATTTGAGCAAAAAATCTGTGCTGAACATGATGGATAAAATATCTATACATCAACAATTCCTTTGATATCTACAATTAGGTAAGAATTGTATCACACCCAGACCTGAGGAATCATATATACTTTAGTAACAAACTTCTGTCAAGCGTTTAACATCTAGAATACTTTTGTAACAAACCTCCGTCAAGCGGTAAGCATCTAGAATGCCTTTGTAACAAACCTCCGTAAAACGTTTAACATCTAGAGTACTTTTTTAAAGAATTATTTAAAAGGCATTCAACAGTAGTTTGTTGTAATGATGACGCTGTAGTTGGAAATAGGCAGTGTAGGGTGTTCACATGGTGATTTTGTAAAGTTAACATTGTATTTGGTTGTTATTGTAATGCTACGGTTTGATATAGAACATACCATGGATTGTAACCTGACATGTTTTATGGTGTATTATTTACTTACAATGAAAAACTATACTTGTTATATAACAAAAGGCCTAACGGGCCTGAATCACTCAACTGTTCTGCAGTTTACAAAGATGACATTGTCACTTTGCGCTCTTGCATGTACATCCTCCATGTATGCAACTTCAATACTATAACCCAAAAGCTATTGGTCAATGAAAAGAAGTTTAAAAAGTTTCAAGACATTTGACCAATACATTTAAAACCCTTAGTAGTCCTTAATCCCAACTCATCGGCCCAATACGAGTGCCCTCGGACTATTGGTTAATGAAAAATGGGTTAGATATTTAACATATGTGAGCCCATAGACATTGAAAGTAGGTCAAGGCAATTAATTTCGACAAATATAGTAGTCATTCATACCAGCAGGTTACACGATCAATACCAGTACCCTTGCCTTTTGGTTATTGAGTTGTTTGAAAGTTTCAATATATCTGACCTCTGTGACATTGAATGAGGGTCAAAGGTACTTCATTGGAAACATTATGGCAGCTCTTCTTCCCAGCATATTATAAGTCCAATATCAGTACCATGGGCGTTTTGATTATTGAGAAGAAGTCGTGGAAAGATGTTAACATATTTAACCCTGTGACCTTGAGAGTGGATCAAGGGCATTCATTTCAACAAAACATTCAAACATGCTATAGGTCCACTATCAGTATCTTTGGTCTTTTGATTAATGGTAAGATGGTGGTAGAAGACTTTGAAATATTTTACTGCTGTGAAATTGAAAATGGGTCAAGGTCATTTGTTTAGATAAACATGGTAGCCATTCATCCCAGCAGGTTAAAAGCCTGATATCAGTTCCCTGGATATTGGTTATTGGGAAGAAGTCGTTTTAAAGATTTTAACGTATTTGATTCAGACTTGGAAGAAGGATCAAGGTCATTCATTTGAACAAACTTGCTAGCGTTACATCCCAGCATACTATAGGTCAAATATCAGTACTCTGTGACTTTTAATCAGCAATGGAAGTAGTATGAAGTTTTGAACACATTTGACTATTGTGACCTTGACAGTTAATTAAGGTCATTCCTTTGAATAAACTTCACACCTTTGATCCCAGCATGATGCACAAGCCCAATATCAGTATCCTGGACCTTTGATAATGGAAAAGTTTATTAAAGATTTTAACACATTTGACCAATGTGACCTTGAAAATGGGTCAAGATAATTGATTTAAACAAACTCGGTAGCCCTTTATTTCAGCATCTTGGTGATTCACACTTTTTCTCTATAGTCGATTGGTGTAAATTGTCTACACATTCATTGATCGATATTATTTTCTAAAACATTGTATTCAACTAAACATGTATAAGCGATTTGACTGTTTCTCTTTCTGAATTAGCTCAGTCTCTGTTTATGAGTGTTAAATGATAACAAAACATTAGTGTCTCTCTAAAATATTTTATCTAAAAGTTACAGTATCTAAACCTTGATATCAATTCTCTACAAAATAAAACTAATCCCTAAACTGAGGTATGAAATGTATACATCTGGTTAATATAGTGATAATATATATTGTAAAATATATGTATATATAAAGCATTGTAGATAACAGAACATCCCTAAACAGGATAATCAATCAGTGTCTTCTATCAAATCACTAGATAAATACATGCAATTAACAAATATCACGTAACATTAATAGATCTGTATAGACACTGTAATCACAGATCTCAGAAATCACACATGATGTCAGTAGATCTGTATAGACACTGTAATCACAGATCTCAGAAATCACACATGATACCAGTGGATACATGAACATGCGAATATACAAGTAAAACACAGTTGGTATTTAACCAAAAAAAGTTATTGTCACATTAGAATTACAATTCCATAAAAGTGAATTTAATTCAGTCTTGTTTTTAGGGATGGAAACCCTTAGTGAGTGCTATATATACAGGGCATAGTTAAAATAATCACTAGCTACCAAAACAATAAACTAACTTCCATGGACGTGATTTCATACGAGGCAAAAATGAAATAAATATTGACCTCCATAACATCAACAATTTACTACAATGTTGTACACTGTTGAAAAAGTGATGTGTAACCTACAACGTATCAGTGATTTATAAAAATAATGAAATCTTATGTAAAAAATGCAGACAATTCATTTATAATGATATAATGCGCAAGGTCATGAAAACATTTTGATTATAATTTTAATAAGAAGTGTTTTTCAAATATTGCATTTATTTTCATATGAAGTAAAACAGTCATTTTATACTGTAATAGTACATGTATACATGATATCACCATTAGGCGTAACACAAAAACTCAGCATCTATGTATATATCATATTAATTGTCATACAAAGTACAAAATACAAATTCTGATAAATCTTCACACAAAACATGTAAAAAATGTAAACTTGTCTAAACATTCAGATGGAGATTCCTTTATAACACTTTCCCTTAAATAATATCTGGAATTTGCTGTTTAACATTTCCATTACACACACGGGACAGTTCCTACAGTGGTCAGTAAGGGCAGGTTCTATGGTCGATTAGACACACAAACCAATTTAATCCCTGTGGTGGTCAATTAAAATAGGTTTTTTGGTCCAATACACACGAAATAATATAGTTCTTATAGTGGTCAGTTAGAGTTCATTTCATGGTCCATTAGACACACAGAATAATATAGTGCCTCTGGTGGTCACAGAGTTCCTTTCATGGTCCATTAGACACACAGAATAATATAGTGCCTCTGGTGGTCACAGAGTTCCTTTCATGGTCCATTAGACACACAAACCAACTAAGTCCCTACAGTGGTCAATTAGACTAGGTTTTTTGGTCCAATACACACACAACACTATTGTACCAACTGTGGTCAGTTGGAGCAGGTTTTATGGTCCATTACACATTCAAAACTAGTCCCTACAGTGGTCAGTTGGAGCAGGTTTTATAGTTTAATATGGTGGTTTTATTTATCTAGAATTGGGGTTATTCCTGACCAGTAAAACATCTTCTAAATCTCAGAACTCCAAAATAAATCACTTTTAGGCGAGGTTTGCTTTCCTGCCTTTTACTTTTAAACAAATTATCTATCAAATTCTATGGGTGGTACTGAAGTTCTGGGGTGGGATCAATGTTTTTATGGAATAGCCCTAATCATCAATTATCATGACTAGAAAATTGTTATATAAGGCAATTTTTATAGTAAGTTATCAACAATCATTAACATAATGAATACATTCTTATTGAAAATTTCACTTTTCTGCCACTATCCTGTAAGCATACAAGCAATTAAAATTTCTAAAATAAGTTAAATTTCATAAAAATATGTTAAACTTTAAAATGGTATGTCAATTTAGTTGATCAATTTCAGTTATGTTAATTTAACATTATCTAGTTACACATTCATAAAATAGAGAGCTTTAAATGAAATAGTTATTGAAAAACAATACTGAATTTTTTTTACATTGACAAATATTTCATCGATAAACAAGGAGAAAATATAAAAACAAAAAACAGAGCATTGAAAGATGTGTAAACCCTTTGTGATCCCTTATAACCTGTAAAATATGGTGAGGTACAGTTTACACTCCATAACAGGTAGCTATAATAAACATGTTTGTTATCCATTATCTTTGAGTTTCATTCATTCGTCTCCTCCATCATGCTGATTTCTGTCCAGCAGATCTAATGACGTTTGTCTCTTTGGAAGATCACTTTTTCCAAGCCAATCATTGGAGCTTCAAATGCCAAGGAGGCAAAGAATGCCAGGCAGTATGACATTATCCAGTGGCCCAGAAACATGTAAACCTGGACAACAAAGAAAACATGACAGAGTGGCCCAGAAACTTATATATCTGTACAACAGAAAAAACATGACAGAGTGGCCCAGAAACATGTATATCTGTACAACAGAAAAAACATGACAGAGTGGCCCAGAAACATGTATACCTGGACAACAGAAAAAACATGACAGAGTGGCCCAGAAACATGTATACCTGGACAACAAAGAAAACATGACAGAGTGGCCCAGAAACATGTATACCTGGACAACAGACAAAACATGACAGAGTGGCCCAGAAACATGTATACCTGGACAACAGAAAAAACATGACAGAGTGGCCCAGAAACATGTATATCTGTACAACAGAAAAAACATGACAGAGTGGCCCAGAAACATGTATACCTGGACAACAGAAAAAACATGACAGAGTGGCCCAGAAATATGTACGCCTAAACAATGGAGAAAAGAAGACAGAGAGGCCCAGAAACATGTATACCTGGACAACAGACAAAACATGACAGAGTGGCCCAGAAACATGTATACCTGGACAACAGAAAAACATGACAGGGTGGCCCAGAAACATGTATACCTGGACAACAAAGAAAACATGACAAAGTGGCCCAGAAGCATGTATATCTGGACAACAAAGAAAACATGACAGAGAGGCATTTGTACATAATTATGGTGGCCTTTGAACATGTAAACCTTAACAATTTTTAACAAACTAACAGTTTTCCCTGTTTCCTCAAATAACTTGTAACTTTGGATATGTCTATATCATACAATGTGCTTTCTCAATTCATCATATTGTATACAGGTTTAACCTATCAGGGGTTGGACAAAAGATTCAGCCTACATGTACAAAAAAAAGAAGTCAATAGTGATTTCTACAGTCAACAATGATTAACATTGTTGATAGAAGATACATTGTTTCAACAATATATATATATATAATTTGGACTGCTTAGTTTATATGGACAATGCACTACATCTGATAGGGATGGCAGTCACTGAAAGACAGGACAAATGATTGGCGTTTAAAGCTTTGGCTTTTAATTCTGATCACTTCAGTTTGCCCTTTCTCATACCTAAGTGGTCTCCATGTGAACATATAGTAACATGTGTCACATATACATCATAAATAAAAGAAAAAAAACCCTTAACAGTTATCATCAACCCTTACACCTAAACACTACGCTAATGTCTCTTCTCAGCAGAGGAAGTATCAGTTTGATCACCTCATACAGTAATGGGGAAAGGGAGACTACCTCCAATAAAAGTTATGTTTGTATTTTACTTTATCAACAATGAAATAATTTATTTATATTTAAGACTCGTTAAATAAAAATCTGCATCCATTAAAAAATGAGGTATAGGGAAATAAGACAGTAGATGTGTCCTCGTATTTATCTTTACAGGAAGAAGGAGAGGACAGTCTGAAAATACTTACCATGTTGATATCGGTGAAGTAGATTGGGTAACGCTGGTTCAAGATGAAGGCATACATCATTATAGGGTGTATCAAATAAGCACAGTAGGTCAGTCTCCCAAATGGTCCCCACAAACCAGACGAAAGGAATTCAGTTATCACACCTTCAAAAACAGACATTAATATTTACTGTGTTAGGTCATGCCTCCTACTGAATCCAACCCATCTCTATTTCCAATTCCCTTACTAAAGGACCATCACATAATTTTAATACCATCTAGATTTGAAATTGTTCATAAAATCTTCCTGTGTATCATTTTTAAATCAATGAATATATATCTCTTTTCTGTTGTGTGGTCACCCTCCTAACTATAGGAAAGCAGAATAATCAATTTCTTCTCTTTGTCCCTACCTCCATATCCTGTATTGCAGGCAAATATGATCCATGCCAAACCAAGACTCCATACAGTTTTACACATGGCATTATATATACCATCTACTTGTAGTGAGTTGAGGTGACCCTTGTTCTCCTCTAGGGTTCCATAAACAACTGAGGTCACACAGGTCAAGGACAGTGCCCAGCCAATCAAAACAGTCAGCTGTAACACAAAGAGGCCAAGGTTCTTTCAAAAGCCAATGCCAATACAATCTACAATAGATTACAACCTACAATACACAAGTTACACTCAAAACAACAGTTCAATTGTTACCAAATCCCAAAACAACAATAGAAACGTATACTACTTAACACATTTAAGTTAAAAGAAAAACTTATGTTTCACCCTGGAAAGCATATATCCTAACAGTATCTATAAGTTTGGATTAATGGACAAAGACCTGACCTTGAAGTTTAGCCTAGCCTTTGGATCATGTACAGGACATACATTCGCCTCATTTCTGGTCTGAAGACAGATATTGGTATGATAAAATGATAATGGTGTGGCAAAATCTTGTCGTACAGACATTGGCCTGAACTCTATGACACAGGACAGACATTGGCCTGGACTCTGACACAGGACAGACATTGGCCTGGATTCTATGACACAGGACAGACATTGGCCTGAACTCTATGACACAGGACAGACATTGGCCTGAACTCTATGACACAGGACAGACATTGGCCTGAACTCTATGACACAGGACAGACATTGGCCTGAACTCTATGACACAGGACAGACATTGGCCTGAACTCTATGACACAGGACAGACATTGGCCTGAACTCCATGACACAGGACAGACATTGGCCTGGATTCTATGACACAGGACAGACATTGGCCTGAACTCTATGACACAGGACAGACATTGGCCTGGACTCTATGACACAGGACAGACATTGGCCTGAACTCTATGACACAGGACAGACATTGGTCTGAACTCTATGACACAGGACAGACATTGGCCTGATTTCTATGACACAGGACAGACATTAGCCTGAACTCTATGACACAGTGCAGACATTGGCCTGGATTCTATGACACAGGACAGACATTGGCCTGAATTCTATGACACAGGACAGACATTGGCCTGAACTCTATGACACAGGGCAGACATTGGCCTGAACTCTATGACACAGGACAGACATTGGCCTGAACTCTATGACACAGGACAGACATTTGCTGGAACTCTATGACACAGGACAGACATTGGCCTGAACTCTGATACACTAGACAGACACTGTACAATGTTTTACTGGAGACATGAAGGACTTACCTTGGACATGTTGACTTTTCTGTCTGTCCGCCACAAAACATAGCCTGTTAAGATACCAATAAGGTAGGGGCTGATTCGTGAGTAGGGTCTTTGGTACATTTCATTGAACCAATCCAACTGGTGCCTTCAAAGATGGAATAGAAGCTGAGCAGTTGTTTAGAATTACAATCACTACATGTGTAATATAAATCTTTACCTAAATACTAAAAGGGTTGGTGCTTTAAAATAACAGAAACGAATTCTCAACACAAGTTTAAATTAACAAAAAGCAAAAAAATGAACTATCTTATCATTTAGTTTGGTATATGCATATTATCATAACATTAACAAGTCATATAACTTATATGTGAATGTAATATCTTTTGCTGACCTTAAGATACTTACAAAACATGTAAATACTGTATACAGTCTCATATTCTATATTTGTTCTTACACATGAATGACAGATAATGAAGACAATATCAGAAAAAGTGTTGTAACAGTTGTGATATTAAAACTAACTTACTGTGGGTCAGGAATATTCATCTTGAATCCATAGTACACCGAGATGAGGCCACGAAACAGAAACTGTTCCATCATGAGTACACCAATGATGACGTATCCTACCAATGGCTTCCTGTATAACACACAGCTGTCATTACTAACAGTGATGTTATATCCTACCAATGGCTTCCTGTATAACACACAGCTGTCATTACTAACAGTGATGTTATATCCTACCAATGGCTTCCTGTATAACACACAGCTGTCATTACTAATAGTGATGTTATATCCTACCAATGGCTTCCTGTATAACACACAGCTGTCATTACTAATATTGATGATGAATCCTACCAATGACTTCCTGTATAACACACAGCTGTCATTACTAATAGTAATGTTATATCCTACCAATGGCTTCCTGTATAACACACAGCTGTCATTACTAACAGTGATGTTATTTCCTACCAATGACTTCCTTACACACAGTTGTCATTATTAGGTATATGAATGCAACTGGATAAAGGCAAGACTTGGCCTTATCCTGTTTTCATTCATACATTCATGAATGACAAATATAATTTGATGCTTTAAGGAAAGACTTATCGGGTGGCAATTTCAGTACATAAGTTGAGTTTAGATAAAACTTCTTACCTGTACAATGGAATCAGGATGAGGGGCGTGATGATAAAAAACTGCATGTCATTTGCCAGGTACCATGACCAGCCAATACACTATAACAGGAAGTGTAAATCATGAACAACGCAGGGTATGTTTCATTTAATTCTATATCAGATACAGGGGATATACATTTATCATCATCATTAAATATTTCTTTCATAGAGATAAAATATGTTGCTAATTCTAACCTGCTCTGTGACAGGAAAAAAATTCTGTACGTAGAGTAGATTTCTCCACCAGTGTTTGATACAGACATCGTAACCTGGGGCGTATTGAGGCCAGAACGGTCCATCCCCCCAGTAGTGGAACAGGCCTATGTATGTCAACAGTACCAGCATGTAGGCAGGGGTCAGTCTGTCATAAAAATAATATCAGTGTAAAAATGTACATCAATTATACAATGGTTAGCTTACTGTGAAATGTTCAAAGGTCTTGTCTAGGGTTTTGCAGCATGCTTTTCACTGTGTGAGGAAATGTTTAATTATACAGATACCAACACACAATAAAAACACAAAAGGACAAACACGATATCTTTTATTTGAATCCTGTTTCACATTGGTATCAGTTTTATAATTACATATCACACATACATCTATGTTAAAACTAAAACAAAAATTACTAGTAGTTATATCTGACACATCCAAACTTCTCAACATCATCAGGATTAAGCAAACATCCTACATCAGTTATATTAGTTTTATTTGTCTAATATATAAACCTCTAAAATTGTACAATGTTTTTTTTTTCTTTTTTTACAAAAAAACACATTCAGAATCTCACAACATCCCCAAATCTACCAGAAGGTCTAAGTTTTTAATTTCTGTAACACATGATTAAGTTTGCTTGGCCTTGGACATACATGCACTTTGTTTGTAATAGGGCTGAACACAAAACTTTAACATATTGAACAATGAATTAACAAATTTCAATTAACAGTAAACTGGATGAAATTCAGAACCTGGAATGTGTGTTGGGATGGCCATGCCTCAAATATAAGTATATTCCAGGTCTAGATATAAGTATATTCCAGGTCTAAATATAAGTATATTCCAGGTCTAGATATAGTAAGTATATTCTCAGTCTAGATATAAGTATATTCCAGGTCTAATTATAAGTATATTCCAGGTCTAGATATAAGTATATTCCAGGTCTAAATATAAGTATATTCCAGGTCTAGATATAAGTATATTCTCAGTCTAGATATAAGTATATTCCAGGTCTAATTATAAGTATATTAAGTATATTCCAGGTCTAGATATAAGTATATTCTCAGTCTAGATATAAGTATATTCTCAGTCTAGATTTAAGTATATTCCAGGTCTAATTATAAGTATATTCCAGGTCTAGATATAAGTATATTCAAGGTCTAGATATAAGTATATTCCAGGTCGAGATATAAGTATATTCCAGGTTTGGTTGGTAAAGAAATTGAATATAGAGAGGAATCAGTGTCAATACTGATCTAAACACAAACCTCTAACTTTGTACAATCAATTAACAAAAACAATTAAAAGTAAACTGTAGTAGAAGATCTCAATTTGAAATAAGTGTTAAGACAATCATGTTTAGATATATCAATATTAAAGGCTATACTTACCTCCAAAAGCGATGGAAGTAGTACACCAGCCAGTTTATCTTGCCATTTCTCTTCTGCATTTCTTTTAGAGTCAAGAAGGAGCCCAACATACCACTGAAACATTAGTACTTATACAGTATAAACTTTCATAACATTACTCACTATGGCCACGTGTAAACAAATGCTCATTTTTCTATCCTTGAGATCCCAGAGATATGAAACAGCAAACAAATACAAGGGAGATAATCTGGGTGAATATCCAGCAACATCTCCTATCATGGAACCTATGTCACTAAAGGAAGTAAGGTTGACTGGTAATGTTAGAACAAAAAGCATTTATAGACAGCTGTTTCCCAACAAGTAATGGTTGCTCATCACATTCATCTAACTCTCATGAGCTAATTTTCAAATTTAGAAAAGACACTCACTAAAAACCTTGCATCTTTAAGTTTTCTAAATTTGAAAATCAACTAATGAGAATTAGATTGACAATAAACAACTGTCAAGTGGTAGGAAACTTGTTTATCCCATGATTTTTACATATCTAAAAGGTACCAAGTTCGAATTCTCCCAATGCAGCAACTAAATTCTGTGAGCTGCATCACTACACAACAAAATACATGTAAAGTTTATAATGAAGGATAGGCTACTATACAATTCAGATGACCAATTCATGTTTATTGTAATATATTTGTATACAACATAACTTCAAAAAAGATACATAACTATGACAAGAACAGTGTTTGTGTGTTTTATTAATAGAATAGTTCAAATCACCTCGTTAAAATGAAAGCCATGACATGGCGAGGTCGAATGTCAAAGATTAGACAGCTGAATACAAAACTAATCATTGCTGTATTCAGTTATTGGTCGTTTCCTGGATGAAGTAAATGTGTAATAATTGTTGATGGTGATATCAAAAAGTCTCTTCAAGATTTTTTTACATTCAAGACACTGATTTTTGGGAAACCATGCTGGAGTGAAAAGCTAATGTTATTATTGTGACATTGTTGTTGACACACATGGTGATATCAACAGAACTACACTGGACAGAGGGCAACAGGTGGCAATGGTGGTGTGGTTGACAGGAGTTTAACATTAAAATACATTTAAACTATACTCATTTTTGTATCCAGAAATCTCCTGTATAAAAATATCATGAATTTGCAATTAACGTCTGTATATGCAATGTGTCTCATGCGGTGTGTTTTGTTCACATGAGACCATTTGATCAGTTTATTGACATGAGACAAGTGTTCCAAATGGATTTCAGTGTTTGGGATATAAATTTGCAATAAAGGTACGTTAAATGATTAGATAGTGTTTATACTACTTATCTAATTATTTGGCCTAGCTATGACTGCTTCAGTTCAGTACAGAAATCATACATTAAGTTAGGAGTAACATCTCATCTGATTATCATAGTTCTTCCCTGAATGGTCAGTCAAAGGATTTCCAGTTTCTTGGTCTTTGAGACCCAAGTTAAAGCATAATCTGAATAATCAGTGTGCCTGCATTTTAAAATTATCACAGGGAAGCAAATCGCAAGACTTCATACAGATCACAACATGGACAAATGGAGACGACTTCTTCGTACATGTTAACACTATATTACTCTGCCATTGAAAGCATAAATACCATCAGTTTATCAGATTTTTGATGTTTGTTTCAATGTAGTATGAATTTACTGAGTCTCTATACAAACTGATAATGGGTGGCCATGTTGATGATTTTTCATTGACAGATGACAATAAAAAGAATGCGCTTGTAATGTAGTCTGAAGTCAAAGTTCAGAGGTTAACCAATCAGAATTGTTGGAGGTCAATGACGACCAATCAGAGGGTTTGAAAGCATGTTGAAAAACCAATAACATACTGCTACAAAATTTATCACATGGCATATTGGTTGTGAAACAGACATACCTAGTTATGGGATTTATTAAGATTAATTCATCTTTAATCTACAATGAAAGATGACAAAGGCATTGATGATAGGCTTGTAACAATAGATATTCATCAACTGATCAGTCAAGAAAACCAGGGTACCTTATGATAACCTGAACATGAAGCTAACTATAAATACAGAAATTTTATGTTTTGGCTCTAAATAGTTTGAACTGTTGTTAGGTTGAACAACAATTCAAAATTAGTATTATCGTAATTTTCATGACTCACCTGAGCAGGAAGAATGAGTCAACAGAAAATAAAGCACTAAGCACGGCCTGGAATGTCCAGCGTGGAGCCCATTCTGCTGCAACCACCAGATTTTCTGTAAATACTTGTGGTCAGTATATACAGGGTCTCATCATAACAGAAATATACACACTCATAGAATAGTGTATTGAAAACTGTTTCAGATTTGTATGATTACATGTACCCTGTAGTACTGGACAGACTCACAGTGAAATAGTAGGTGTGGCCAAGAATGACCCAGCTAAGATTGAGTACACAAATACTTACTGGACAGACTCACAGTGAAATAGTAGGTGTGGCCAAGAATGACCCAGCTAAGATTGAGTACACAAATACTTACTGGACAGACTCACAGTGAAATAGTAGGTGTGGCCAAGAATGACCCAGCTAAGATTGAGTACACAAATACTTACTGGACAGACTCACAGTGAAATAGTAGGTGTGGCCAAGAATGACCCAGCTATGATTGAGTACACAAATACTTACTGGACAGACTCACAGTGAAATAGTAGGTGTGGCCAAGAATGACCCAGCTAAGATTGAGTACACAAATACTTACTGGACAGACTCACAGTGAAATAGTAGGTGTGGCCAAGAATGACCCAGCTAAGATTGAGTACACAAATACTTACTGGACAGACTCACAGTGAAATAGTAGGTGTGGCCAAGAATGACCCAGCTAAGATTGAGTACACAAATACTTACTGGACAGACTCACAGTGAAATAGTAGGTGTGGCCAAGAATGACCCAGCTATGATTGAGTACACAAATACTTACTGGACAGACTCACAGTGAAATAGTAGGTGTGGCCAAGAATGACCCAGCTAAGATTGAGTACACAAATACTTACTGGACAGACTCACAGTGAAATAGTAGGTGTGGCCAAGAATGACCCAGCTAAGATTGAGTACACAAATACTTACTGGACAGACTCACAGTGAAATAGTAGGTGTGGCCAAGAATGACCCAGCTAAGATTGAGTACACAAATACTTACTGGACAGACTCACAGTGAAATAGTAGGTGTGGCCAAGAATGACCCAGCTAAGATTGAGTGCACAAATACTTACTGGACAGACTCACAGTGAAATAGTAGGTGTGGCCAAGAATGACCCAGCTAAGATTGAGTACACAAATACTTACTGGACAGACTCACAGTGAAATAGTAGGTGTGGCCAAGAATGACCCAGCTAAGATTGAGTACACAAATACTTACTGGACAGACTCACAGTGAAATAGTAGGTGTGGCCAAGAATGATCCAGCTAAGATTGAGTACACAAATACTTACTGGACAGACTCACAGTGAAATAGTAGGTGTGGCCAAGAATGACCCAGCTAAGATTGAGTGCACAAATACTTACTGGACAGACTCACAGTGAAATAGTAGGTGTGGCCAAGAATGACCCAGCTAAGATTGAGTGCACAAATACTTACTGGACAGACTCACAGTGAAATAGTAGGTGTGGCCAAGAATGACCCAGCTAAGATTGAGTACACAAATACTTACTGGACAGACTCACAGTGAAATAGTAGGTGTGGCCAAGAATGACCCAGCTAAGATTGAGTACACAAATACTTACTGGACAGACTCACAGTGAAATAGTAGGTGTGGCCAAGAATGACCCAGCTAAGATTGAGTACACAAATACTTACTGTACAGACTCACAGTGAAATAGTAGGTGTGGCCAAGAATGACCCAGCTAAGATTGAGTACACAAATACTTACTGGACAGACTCACAGTGAAATAGTAGGTGTGGCCAAGAATGACCCAGCTAAGATTGAGTACACAAATACTTACTGGACAGACTCACAGTGAAATAGTAGGTGTGGCCAAGAATGACCCAGCTAAGATTGAGTACACAAATACTTACTGGACAGACTCACAGTGAAATAGTAGGTGTGGCCAAGAATGACCCAGCTAAGATTGAGTACACAAATACTTACTGGACAGACTCACAGTGAAATAGTAGGTGTGGCCAAGAATGACCCAGCTAAGATTGAGTACACAAATACTTACTGGATAGACTCACAGTGAAATAGTAGGTGTGGCCAAGAATGACCCAGCTAAGATTGAGTACACAAATACTTACTGGATAGACTTGCAGTGAAATAGTAGGTGTGGCCAAGAATGACCCAGCTAAGATTGAGTACACAAATACTTACTGGATAGACTTGCAGTGAAATAGTAGGTGTGGCCAAGAATGACCCAGCTAAGATTGAGTACACAAATACTTACTGGATAGACTTGCAGTGAAATAGTAGGTGTGGCCAAGAATGACCCAGCTAAGATTGAGTACACAAATACTTACTGGACAGACTCACAGTGAAATAGTAGGTGTGGCCAAGAATGACCCAGCTAAGATTGAGTACACAAATACTTACTGGACAGACTCACAGTGAAATAGTAGGTGTGGCCAAGAATGACCCAGCTAAGATTGAGTGCACAAATACTTACTGGACAGACTCACAGTGAAATAGTAGGTGTGGCCAAGAATGACCCAGCTAAGATTGAGTACACAAATACTTACTGGACAGACTCACAGTGAAATAGTAGGTGTGGCCAAGAATGACCCAGCTAAGATTGAGTACACAAATACTTACTGGACAGACTCACAGTGAAATAGTAGGTGTGGCCAAGAATGACCCAGCTAAGATTGAGTACACAAATACTTACTGGACTGGATAGACTTGCAGTGAAATAGTAGGTGTGGCCAAGAATGACCCAGCTAAGATTGAGTACACAAATACTTACTGGATAGACTCACAGTGAAATAGTAGGTGTGGCCAAGAATGACCCAGCTAAAATTGAGTACACAAATACTTACTGGACAGACTCACAGTGAAATAGTAGGTGTGGCCAAGAATGACCCAGCTAAGATTGAGTACACAAATACTTACTGGATAGACTTGCAGTGAAATAGTAGGTGTGGCCAAGAATGACCCAGCTAAGATTGAGTACACAAATACTTACTGGATAGACTCACAGTGAAATAGTAGGTGTGGCCAAGAATGACCCAGCTAAGATTGAGTACACAAATACTTACTGGACAGACTCACAGTGAAATAGTAGGTGTGGCCAAGAATGACCCAGCTAAGATTGAGTACACAAATACTTACTGGATAGACTCGCAGTAAAATAGTAGGTGTGGCCAAGAATGACCCAGCTAAGATTGAGTACACAAATACTTACTGGACAGACTCACAGTGAAATAGTAGGTGTGGCCAAGAATGACCCAGCTAAGATTGAGTACACAAATACTTACTGGATAGACTTGCAGTGAAATAGTAGGTGTGGCCAAGAATGACCCAGCTAAGATTGGGTACACAAATACTTACTGGATAGACTTGCAGTGAAATAGTAGGTGTGGCCAAGAATGACCCAGCTAAGATTGAGTACACAAATACTTACTGGATAGACTTGCAGTGAAATAGTAGGTGTGGCCAAGAATGACCCAGCTAAGATTGAGTACACAAATACTTACTGGATAGACTCACAGTGAAATAGTAGGTGTGGCCAAGAATGACCCAGCTAAGATTGAGTACACAAATACTTACTGGACAGACTTGCAGTGAAATAGTAGGTGTGGCCAAGAATGACCCAGCCAAGACTGAGTACACGGATTCCACTGACTGCCTTGATCTGACTCGGAGTTGTCTCTGTACTCAGTATCTTGTAACCATTGGTATACATGGAAAATCCCATTAGAAATTTCTCCAAGGTTGCTAATAAATATATGGAAATCAATTTTTCATCAGAGAGATTGAAAATATATAATTATTTTAAAGAAAAACAATTTGAAGTTTGTATCTGCAGTCATTCTGATTAAGAAGTGAATACTTGGTCAGTAACTTTCGAAATATTAGGTATACCCTGTACATAAAAAAATCTGTCCAGAAGCAAATTTCACGTTTTAACTAAGTATAGTGTATCATTATTATCATCTAAGCAGTAGTTTCTCCTTTATCCATCATTTTTGTTGTGTTGTCAAATCTAAAATCTGTGAACAAGTCTTATATTATATCAGCCTTCACTACATTATAGATTATGTGGGCTAGAAAGTACCTAACAAGTAAACCTCTAGCAGCCTTACCATAACTTCTGATCTTGTGTCGGATGGTTACTGTGCTGATCTGTTTACCATAACTAAGGAGTTCACTCTCTGTGCTATCCGAGTAACTGATTAGGGTGGCATTAAGATCCTGTGGGTTAGTGTTGACATGGGGTGTTTGTTCAGTGACGTTAGATACGTCAGCCTCTTCTGATAGGGAAGGCTGATGAATCAGGAGGTCGTACAGAGTCCCCATCACCAGGAAAAATGCCAGGAGACAACTGATGACACTGCAATACGATGATATACATGTTACACAGTATATGTCACACATTTAAATGGAGACATAACTTGTTGACATGATAGATAAATAATTGTGATTTAATTTTTATATCAATTGAAATACTATGTTTGCAAATTAAATGTATCTTGTAAATGTTTCATTATTTTGTTTTTCATGTTTGACCTCTTTGCTCTTTAAATCATTTTAGGTCTAGGTCATTTGCATAAAGAGACCCATCACAAATATCTGCTAGCCAGATACCAGAACCATGGGTCTTGCTGAATTTAAGAAAGATTCTAAAAACAATGATTTATTTGATCCCTGTGGTCTTAAGAAAATGTATGGGTCACAGAAATCAACATAAGGACACTTTACAACACTCTAACCTTGGTATCTACTGACCAAATACCAGGCTACTGTGACTTATATTTTTTCAGTAGATGTAGGATATGTAGCTACACTAGACCATAATTATAATCTCACTGCTACTTTGGTCTTTGTAAGTTTGTAAAGATTGTAAAAAGGCATGTGAATAGCACATATTAATACAATTTCAGAATTAGATAGAGTTGAGCTAAATGATGAATTAAACTGCATCACACAGCTGTTTTCCTTCTACAATGTTAGGACTCATCAGTGATGCTAAGGGTCTAACTTTTGAAGCGTAGTGGTGACTAAGGAGGTACACTAGCCCCATAATTCAATATATTTGGTAATTTTCATATATCTGATATTTTTAAAACAAGTCAAGTACATGTGTATATTCTGAACCTTTGAATTAAAACATGACTTACAGTTTACAGCAAATCTCAGGAACTAAAATGTATATCAATGCCACAGTCTGACTTGTAATACTCCGACATGCTATAACAGTTATGTGGATTTGTTAATTGTTGTCTTTACATCTTATTAACAGCCAGGTCATGATTAAGGTCATGTCAGATTGGGTGCAGCTAGTACCTGGTGATTGTCCCACACAAGCCTTGACCCCCTGACCCAGAAGTGGAGGACTAGTGATAAAGATGGCCAGATGCATAAACCATTCACTCATTGTAGTCACTACGGTCAATATCAGTAGAAACAAAATAAGGAATATGAAAAAACTAGAGAGTTCTCAAATATAGGAATTCAGTTACATGTATGTAAGGCAAAGACACACCTGTTTCTCAAAGTTACAGCAGGTAATTTTAGAGTCACATTAATGAAATCACAGGTATATGTGAACAATATTTGTACTTCCCGATAGATCTGTGAAGCTAGTACAGTGATCATTTGCTACACTAGATTTATCTGTGCTCAAGTCTGTATTTTTTTTATTGAAAGTCACTCTAGTAATATGAGAGAACATTGAGACAAATGAAAGCAAAACCAAGTAATGGATAAAATCCAAGATGGAAATTACTAAGTCATATTTTAACAACTCTGTCAGTAGAGCGCTGACCTACTCTACCTCAAGAGAAGATCTAAGGTGTACGAGTTTGATGTTCCCTTCCAAGCTTTAAGGTAGATTATGTTTTTCAGGCAACTGGGAAACTGAGTATGGTGCATGTTGGGCAAGACACTTCGCCCCAATAAAAATTTCACAGGTATAAATCTCATATTCGAATTTTAATCAAAATTGGGAAAATTGAAGACAACAAAATTTAACATTTATACAGTAAAAGCCTAATTTTCTGAAATGAAACTGAAAGAGATTAACTGATATTCTGAATTTTAAAGTATAACTGCTGACTTTGATCGACAAAGGTTTCAAATAAATGGTCTCCTAGTTCTCATTACTTGTGTGATGATGTAACATTTAAATCTGTGATAGAATAATGATGGCTGACAATAGCTCCGGGTGTGATTGCCTTTGATGTAGAAATTCCAGACATGGCCATTAATCTCGAATGACGTGAGATTAATGTATAATGTCATCTTACAGTGCAGCTGTTGTCTCAGGGCGAGCTTCAAACACAGCAGGGTGTGGGTCATCTATGCCTTGGATAGTTGCATTCTTTAATATTCCTGGTAGAACTGGACTCATTGCAGCATTAGCTGGAGTTAGAAATATCATTACTTCAAACTGATGCCTTACCCTGGTAACCCTGGTAAATACTAGCCATAATATATCATTTAACTGAAGAAATCTTCTCTTTGGCTCAATATATTTAGTTCAAGACTAGTAAACAAGAGTTAAAAAAAAATTTGAACCCTAGCAGAGGCAATGAAATAAATAATGACTTTGTTACATCCTGCAAAAGGAAATCTTACAATAATATCATTTAATTTCTTTTCCTCAGAAACTTGTCAATAAATCGTTGTTCATAGACTCTCTTTACATTACCTGCAGCAGAAACCCCAATGACATCACTCATGCTACACTGGGAAGGCATACACACTCCATAAGTGAAGTCTTTCAAATAAACAGCTAATAGCGGCTGGAAATCGAATCATTAAAACTCTTTATTTAGCAGTCAGATGTAGGAATACATACAAGTCAGAGTCCTCTAGTCAGATATTTCACATTTATTTTCATATTGAAATATAATCACTGTTTCTATTCACTAAGCAAGATATATATTAGCTTATAAATCTTGGAAACAAAAGTGATACCAGGACTTTAAGTCTAGAATGAAGATAATGTGAATTTCACACTCATCATGTAGAAAACATTTGTTCTACAGGACCTTGACTGTAACTTTAATTGTGAATTGGCCAATAAACACTTAAAGGGTATCTAATACTTGAGCTTTCTCATAGAAAAAACTAAATAACATACAATATATAATGAAAAAAACACAGAAAGGCAGCATTTACGATTTACAAGATTTTAGATGAAAAATATGCAAGTAAAACAGCAGGTAATTAAGAGCACTAATTGATTAAAATAAATGTGTGATGTGTTAATTAATTCAACATTAGTAAAAATACAGGCAATTTCATGTACCTCCTTGTATCTGTTTTCTTTATACCTACCGTCTGTACAAACATGCTCGGTGGCAGGTTCAGAGGCAGTCTGATTTCAAGACGATAATACTTTCCCTGGACATTTACCATCGTGTTGTTGTGGTTAGTGTCGTTCACCTTTGCAGAGATGTTGACACATTGGTCATACTGACCAGGCCATACCAAATCAAACTGTAGTATTCCACTTGGCGGTTTACCCATCGCATCCAGAACTGGTCAATCCAATTTAAATGTATGAATGATTAAGAACTGTATATACTACTGATACAGATATATTTGTAACATTAATAAAGGCATCTAATAAAGCTGATATACAATACAAAGGCAGTTCAAAGGAATGATGCCAGATGTACATGTACACACAGTGCATAATGTGTCCTTAATGAATATATATGAAGAAAAGTTTATAACATAATTCAAGTTTGATTATTTGAATTAAAGTCCAATCAAGACTTCTGTAAGCCTTAATAGATAAAAAATCTACTCACATTCCATACCCCAGACTTCCTGAAACCCCTAAAAAATCTACTCATATTCCATAGCCCAGACTTCCTGAAACCCCTAAAAAATCTACTCACATTCCATAGCCCAGACTTCCTGAAACCCCTAAAAAATCTACTCACATTCCATAGCCCAGACTTCCTGAAACCCCTAAAAAATCTACTCACATTCCATAGCCCAGACTTCCTGAAACCCCTAAAAAATCTACTCACATTCCATACCCCAGACTTCCTGAAACCCCTAAAAAATCTACTCACATTCCATACCCCAGACTTCCTAAAACCCCTAAAAAATCTACTCACATTCCATACCCCAGACTTCCTAAAACCCCTAAAAAATCTACTCACATTCCATAGCCCAGACTTCCTGAAACCCCTAAAAAATCTACTCACATTCCATAGCCCAGACTTCCTGAAACCCCTAAAAAGTCTACTCACATTCCATAGCCCAGACTTCCTGAGAACCCACAGCATTGATTAAAAGTCTGAGTGCATTAGTGCAATCCTCTGACACTGTATCATTACTCTTGGCCCAGGCAAGAACGGCATCCACTTCAGTCAGAAAAGTGCCCTGTCTTGTGCCCAACAACTGATCCCAGTCTTTTGTCTTCATCATTTGTTCTTTGATCACATTTTCGTGCATAAGATGAGCAGCAGTCACACGTGACAAGATTTCACTATACTCAAATCGATCCTTGAAAGCTGAATCACTTAAAACCTGTCCAGAAGTTAATATAGATACTAGGAGGAGAAATGACAAGTGTGGATTGCACAGATATTCCATCATGTGTAAACTTGTATAGTCAGTCTAAAGCTTGAAGTCCATCTGTTGTTGTCAGGTTTTTTTCAAATCTGAAGAGCAAACGAAAAATCTTTTTTTTTCATTCACATCTGATTATACTATAAAACAATCATAAAAATGAATGTAATAAACTATTCTTAAGTTTGAATTGATAAAAATGTTATACATTATACAATTAATTTAAACCTACCATTAAATAATGATCATGATTTAGCATGTCTTCATTAACTATGGCACAGTATATTTCACAAATGATCATGATGAGATCAAGTGTAATATAAGAATATCTGCTGCATACTTGAAAATTATACAGGTACATAACAAAAGGGATATTGATCTAAATTATCACCTTATAATCACTGAATCGCCATTTAATGTTACATACCATACAATTCAGAAAAGAAAACGAAATCATTACCTATAATTAGTGTTTCCGTTCAACCCTATTTACATCCTAAAGGGTTTAAGCAATTTAAATTGTCGACAAGATTTGGCCAAAAATTACAAAAACAGATATCTTTGAATTTATCATTTTCATAATTACCAAAATTAAACTCAACAAGAACATACTGATGTTGACAATTAACATATTATGTACATAGCAGGTACAAGCAGTTATTGTTAGGTGCAACATCCTAGCTCATGGTGTGGAGATGATTTCTAAATAAACCTGTACACAATATGTGTGCAAAATAGCATTTCATCAGAATTTGAACTTGTTGTATCAGCTGTATACAAATGTAGGATACATGAACATGTGTCTTAAATAGTGAGAATTTCCCATTAACCAACGGGGTAGAATGTCCAAAAATAAGCTGAAAGGTCACTAGTTGGAGTCCCAGTGGTGCCACACAATGTCTTTTATTATTCTTTCCTATTACATATTATTTGGTACCACTAATTGAAGGGTAGCAGCTATAGGAGAATGAGATGCTTTACCAGTACATGTCACATTATAAGTCTCATGTAGTGGGATTTCCCCTTCATTTATTAGTCAAGAAGTAGAGTGTCAGAGCTTTTTGAGAGGAAGAGGTACCTTATCTGTCAGTCCTAGCAGGGGTAAAACATGTTAACATTGATATACTGGTCGGTGGGAAAGAAGAAAGATGGGGTAAGATTATTTATCTGAATTTATTAAACTTTTTTTACTTTGACCATGTGAGAAAACTTTAATAATCATGATGGATGATAATTGGTTTTTCATATTACCTCACTTCATTGAAAGATGATGCTGTGATCAAAAACAGATAAAGGTAATTGTAAAAATTTGCAATTTACAGTCATGGATTTGTTTAAATTACAAAATATTAATATCCCTATGTGTTCATGTTAGGCCCATGCAAAACAATCCTTTACTCCATGGAAACGTACTTCTACTTTTACTGTAATCACCAAAACAACTCTTGTTTACTGACCTATCTAGTTCAGTGGAACTAAATATCCAAAACTACCCAAAACTTTTAAGATATATCAAATTATGATTAATATTAAAATTTATAACATTTGTGTTGAGTTCATGTCATTCTCATATCAGATTTGGTTGTATAGCAATTATCTCCCCTACATCAGTATATGGAAAGAATGGAATACTTCTATATATATCCACAATGTGTCCAAATTTGTTTATGTCTATTTCATGATTATGAAATAATTTGCAGTCAAATATTAATCATTGAAATACAGTTATTTATAAATGCAATCAGACATGATTCTATATTACTGTGATTGATATAATACTCACAGCATTGCTAATTCTAATCATATATTTCATTCAGCACCTGTATATTGAAATTATATACAATAAGAACAATTTTATTTTTGATAAAAAGTTTTTGTTATGTTTTGAAACAGTGCACAAAGTGAAAAATATATGTAATATATTTTCTTATATTCAATTTTATATTTCAATGATATATATCTTGATAACTGTCTTACCTTTTCATGCCATTACATTAACGACTTCTTACAAACTGTTAATAATATAAAAAGGTGGGTTAAAATCCCTAAACTGTATACCAGACTGAAAGATGTCAACATTTATATTGATCAGACCTGAGGAGTTGGGGCTCTTTCTTATAGGCAAGTCTGTTATCTTAAGAAGACACTTAGGCCTACTGTATTGTATGTTTATCTAACCAAATGATATCATTACTTTGTGTACATACACATGTGCATAAGAATAACAAGTCCATTGTTCTTGTGATACCAATAGCAATTACTTCTCTTGTTCAAATTATTGTGTGTGATCAATAGACAGGTTTATAAGTAAAACTAGCTTTGATAATTAGGCTGTTGTAGGTATCAGTTTAATACCACTCAATCTTTTCATTTTTGCATAATGTGATGAAGTAACCCTCAAGAACATGGTATATAACTCTTTGATGAGTATGTGTGAATAATGTGATAAACTAACACTCAATTAATCTTATTTTGAAATATTTGTTACATTACAAAAAAGAATATGTTATAATCTAAATGTGTTAAGTGAGAAAATAACACGTGAAGATGGGAATTTTATATGTTGCAAAATGTAAAAGATTTACATTCACTCTAAGGCAAACTTTTCTGAATTGGACTATAGCCTTACCTGTAAATACGACTTATTGTTTAACACTTACATCCAATCTCACTTATATTAATTAGTCTGCACAGGGAGATTTACTTCAGTAAATACCAAATGCAGGGTTGGTGAGAAGACATCTTATCGGGCAGTAAGCCATTGCCAAGATAAACAGGCTCAAGCTCTGAGTCCAGTAACGCTTAAGAAAGACTATAAGTAAGCTTGCAATATTGAATACTACCATAAAACATAAGGATGTTACAATTAAATGAAATCGTTATCCACCATCATGCAACTAACAAAACGATTACTTGGAACAACAATATAGTTTAACTGTGCATTTTTACCTGCGATAAGACAGTTTCTATTCTTTCTAAAAACTTTTTCTTAGCTGGCCTTGAACCACCAATGTTTATATTTACCTTTAAACTCATGTAGACGCTTGAAAGATTATAAGCCCGTACATACATAGCATTCAAGAGACCTAGATGAAAGATTTGTAATTCTTTCTCAAAGAAAATCAATAATAGCCCTATTCAATTTTATTTGCGGGAACAGTGAATCCACACGTGGGGTGACAGGTGTGTAATGACAAAGGATTTCCATCATTCATTGGTACACTACATTGTAATATCTGTCTTACTGTCACTTCACCTTCACAAACATCCAAAGTATATCCTTCGTTACTGCAGCATGTACACAGGTAAATTACTATTTGATAACTTACTTAGTGATGTTACAATGCACTGTAAATGTATATACACTTGCAGAGTACTTGAGTTGTATAGTTACACTTGTTAGTTATGTAACATTGCACTGTAGAGGAATATTCCTTCTCGACCATTTGCACTTCTTCACGCCTCATATTTTAAATGATCATCATTTTTTGATAAACTGCCTTGTTAAGAAGAAATGGGTATATGTAGGTTGCTCAACTACAGAATGCATGGATGTTAAGCTTGGCTTAACTGTATGATTGCTTCTGTCAGTTACAAAATGAACTTATCTTCCATACAGGTATATATATATATCAGATTATATTAAATGTGCATCTTGCAACTACCTATTATCTACAAGGTTTACTTGCTGAGTGGACAGGTTACTTTACTAGTTTAAGGCAGTGAGAATTTCCCTTTAATTGAGCAGTATAGTGGCCAGCTAGAGACAGAAGGGACCCTAGTTAAAACTCCCGCGGTGACAGGGTGTTCTTCATCACTCCTTCCTATTACAGATTGCGATGTTGTGATTTGCCAACTTTGGAAATAGATATGCAGTACATGTGGCAATAACAATAGGCTTTTCGCCAGGTTACATTTATACACTCTCATATATCTGCCAGAATTAACAAACACTTGTCTATTTGTTAGGCTATACGTACATATATATGCTACTTGTATTTTGCAGTTCAGGGGAGACAATTCAGATTCAAGAAACTCTTAAGTCTTACAGCATAAAAATGACTTAATTTGCAAATTTCAAATTTGCAAGTAATTTTTCCATTGACCAAGGGGCATCCAGCATCCATTCAACTTCCATCCACCATCTGTCAACTTTCCCTTTAAATCCATCTTGTTCTTTATGAATTGCAGGATATTGTCCAAATTTGGTCTGAGGCATGCTTGAGTGTAGGGAAATCAGTTTTGTAATTAACAGTGGGTCCAGGCCCCTTGTAGTCGAGGAGGCAGAGCCCAATAAGGGAAATGTATCAATTTCTTTTAAATCCATCTTGTTTATTAGGAATTGCAGGATATTGCTCTTATTTGGTCTGAAGCATGCTTGGGTGAAGGGAAATCAGTTTTGTTTAAACAGTGGGTCTTGGCCCCCTGAGGCCAAAGAGGCAGGGCCAAATAGGGAAAATCTGTCATTTTCTTTAGAATCAATCTTGTTTATTAGGAATTGCAGGATATGTCCATATTTGGTCTAAAGCATCCTTGAGGGAAGGGGAATAAATTTTGTATAATTGTATAGATGATGGGTCTGAACAAGTGACAAACCAAAAGGCGCACAAGCATGGTATTTGCATGATAGATTCCAAGGATGAAGTCCAACAAAGTTTGGGGGAAAAAAAATATTAAAACTATTCAGAGTTGAGTATTATTAGCCACTGGTTGTAAACATAGGTTAAAACTGATTAGATATGCCCATGGTGTATGTTTTAATGTATTTGTAATAATTACTGAATCTATTTTTGATGAACATTGAATACCAGGTGAGTGATGCAGGCCCGTTGGGCCTCTTGTGCATTAGTGTGATGGCCAACACTGAATAAAAAGTAAATTGTTTTATAGTTTATTAAATTGGTGGTTAACAATGTAAGGTCTGTTAAACTGATATTTATACTTGCAAACAATTGATGTACAGATACTTTGGGTGGCTAGATGGTGCAGTACATGCTGTTAATATAGTCACCTTTCACTTACACGTCTGGGTTCTGATTCCCCAAAGG